CACACACACACACACACACACACACACACACACACACACACACACACACACACACACACCAAACTCAGTTTCAACATTTAAATTAATCAATACCCTTCAGAGGGATAAACACAGATAAACACAGCCAAGTCCTTCCACAGAGGCTGTCCACAGCATGCTAACCGACTCAGGAACAATGTCATGTAAAGTTATGACTTTATTTTTGTAATATTCTGACTTTATTTTCATAATAAAAATGTAAAAATCTCATAGTGGCTCTAATACTCCCTCCTAATGGCCACCTCCTGGAGGCGCCACTGGATTCATCTCCCAGAAAGCCGAGCGCGCGGATGGTCCATCAGCGCAGATCTGACAGCTGTGCGGATGGACCTTCAGAGACCATCCATGCGTTTATAGATCAGTTGTTTTAAATTGGGTCAAGCTTGAAGCATCGTGCTCCTTGTGTTTACTTCTCCCGCATGTCTCCTGCTTGCAAGGATGCTCAGCTTTAACGGAGTGAGAATCTTCAAAAAGATGTTTTATTGAAGTAGCCATGTTCGTACCATCCTCCTTCCCACCGCTGCCCGGGCAATGAGTGAGTAAAACAGCAGTTTTGAACAGTTCCTCTCGGGCACGGCTGCAGTCGAGTCGACGGGCTCCATGATGGCGATGTTTCGGAGCTTTGTCTCCGGGAGCACACAGCTCCGGCAGCAGCAGCAGCAGACCAACAGCGGCTCGGGCCCGCTGGCAGCCCCGGCTGAGGGCGTCGAGAGCCAATTCTCCTGTCCCATCTGCTTGGAGGTCTACTACAAACCCGTCAGCATCGGCAGCTGCGGACACACGTAAAGTCTTTGTTTCATGTTTTGATATGTGGGGGGCGACATGTCGCTGCTCGGGCTCGTTTTGGAGCAGTCTGTGTTGTGGTTTGTTGTTCAACAAGTCCTGGTTCAGACAGCTGACTCAGGTCCGGCAGGTCCTGGATGGGTGGCCCTGCCTGGAGGCAAAACCCTCCTGCAACTTGAGATCGAAATAAAATCATTAGCTTCACTTTTTGATATTACAAAAAATGTTCAGTTATTATTATGAAATACATTAAAACTAATTTAATGCAGCTTTTTTTTAATGTCCACCAGACAGTCAAGAAAATGACAGTTCACTCTCATGTATGAAATGATCCAGGTTCTAAAATTATTCAAACCCCCAGGTGGATTTCCACCTCATAATTATACGGAGCCCGTGAGGGGACATGCCTGTCACAACAAATTTTGCTGGGCGATTAATTGTCTCAAAAATTATTGCGATAAGCGATAATATTGCCTGGTGACCATTTTACAACTAACAATTATAAAAGCGTAATATGTAAGTGTAATAAATCAATATACTTTCATTTTTAAAGAATGTTTAACAAAGTGGACTCTCAGTCTCTAACAAAAAATGCACTTGAATAAAAAAAAACAAAAAACAAAGAACAACAAAATGTAAATTAAACACCACACGCAACTAAGACAGTAAATAAACAATATTAAAGAGCAGCATCTCTTTAGAGATGAAACGAACTACACAGCCTGGTGATGACCCACTGTTTCTTATGGAGACATAAGCCCAGTTCACATCCTATGTAAAGTGTAGGCTAGGTTTAGGGTCAAATGGTAATAGAAAATACTGGTAAATGAATGAAAGTCAATGCAAAGTCCCCATGAGGATAGAAGAACAAACGTGTCTATGTGTGTGTGTGTGGGGAGGAGACAGTCAGTGAGGAGATAGTCAGAGCGCTGCGGGGGAGGAAATCAGACAGTTCAGAGTTTTCCTCATGAGTTGTTGGGACAGCTACAGGTTTTTTGGTGTTTTGTTAAAACACAGATGGTGCGTTTAAGTTTCCTGTTATTTTTGGGAGCTACAGGTAAAGTCTTGACGAGTTTGTCGCGGGTCTGGGGGAGTTTCAGCCCCCACCCCTTCTCCTCTCTCTCTGTGTGTCTCCCCGCAGTGAATTTCAGGCTCTAGTGCTCCGACACTGCAGCAGCCGCGTTCTGCTTTGAAACGTTTCTTTAGTTTGTTATTGCTACGAGCTCTCACGCTAAAGCGAGAGTTGACTCCTCCCACACTAAGAAAACAGGAGGGGAGGAGTCAGCTGAGCTCCTGTGTAGCGGAGCACAGAGAGGGAGAGAGACGAAGTAAACCAACAAGCAGGAAAATGAAACTTATCGTCTTTTTTTTTACCGACCTCAAAATAACTTATCGTGCAATTAATTGATTTATTGACTATCGCAACAGGCCTAGACATGGGAGATTTTTTTTCTTTTGCGTTCCCACACAATAGTATTGCGTTACCTCGCAATACCTTTTGCGTTCCCTCGCAAAAGCAGTTAATCACTGTTTTGCCTGCGGTTTATTAGCAAACTCACATGTTCACATTAGCGAGTTAGCCTACTGCTTTAATTCAGCTTCAGAATGAATATATCACACAGCCACACATGGAAGTATGTCATATGCCGATATTTTAACACAGTACAGCCACGCAACATCAATATCAATTTCACGAACTTGTGGCGACATCCTGTTTTGGTAACCGGATATTTCAAAATAAAAGTCTGATTTAACTCCGTTCATTTACAAAACAATCTTTTGCTTGGGAACGCAAAACAATATTGCGTGGGAACGCAAAAGTATTGTGAGGGAACGCAAAAGTATTGCGAGGGAACGCAAAAGGACAAAAAATCCCCCCGTGTCCCCTCGCGGGCTCTGTATGATTAGAACCACCTTTGGCAGAAATAGCTAGTTTAATTTTTATGTGACCATAGTTTTGTATGGTTTTAGAGGAATTTGTAGTTCATTAGGTTTGCAGAGATTCATTACTGCACAGTAGCTCTCTGAAGGTCCCATCACAGATTTCTGTTGCATCACGACCCTCGGCTGTAATCTACGGAACCCGCCAGGGTTTTTTTTTCCTTTTGCATTCCCTCGCAACACTTTTGCATTCCCTCGCAATATTGTTTCGTGTTCCCACGCAAAAGATTGTTTTGTATATGAACTGAATTAAATCAGACTTTTATTGTGAAATATCCGGTTACCAAAACAGGATGTCGCCACAAGTTCGTGAAATTGACATTGATGTTGCGTGGCTGTACTGTGTTAAAATATTGGCATATGACATACTTCCATGTGTGGCTGTGTGATATATTCATTCTGAAGCTGAATTAAAGCAGTAGGCTAACTCGCTAATGGTGAACATGTGAGTTGGCTAATAAAACGGCAGGCACAACAGTGATAAAGTGCTTTTGCGAGGGAACGCAAAAGGTATTGCGAGGTAACGCAAAAGTATTGCGAGGTAACGCAAAACGATATTGCGAGGGAACGCAAAACGATATTGCGAGGTAACGCAAAAGTATTGCGAGGTAACGCAATACTATTGCGTGGGAACGCAAAAGAAAAAAGTCTCCCATGGCCCCTCACGGGCTCCGTAGTAATCTGCTCAGAGGACTTCAGGGTCGACTCGATGCCTGCTTCTGCTCAGTTCACGTGGCTGCAAAATAAACCCAAATTATTATCCCTCCACCACCGTGCTCACAGCTGGTATCAGCTGCTTATGTTAATGTGCAGTGCTGGTGCTGGGGTTTTCTCCAAACTTGCGTTGTGAGTAAACATCTCTACTTTGGTCTCATCAATCTAAAATACTTTCTTTCAGAAATGTGATTCATTCAGATGAAACTTTATAAACCTAAACTGTTTGCCATGTTTTTTTTCTCCTGGCAGCCCATCCAATGAAACCACACTTGTTGTTTTTTAATTGTTGCGTCATGAACTAACCCGCTAACCGAGGCAGATAGATGTGACTCCACCGCACGGCTGATGTGAGCGTTCCACAGGTGTATTCTCAAGGTCGAGCAGCCGGGTACTTTGTCACGTGACCATGTTGTAGACGGAGGCTGACATATTGGTTTTGGGGGAAACAGGATGAGTTCCTCTATGTAAATAAAATAGGAAAAATGGTGAAAAGTTGCTGCAGGACTGCACTTCTCACGTAAAAATACATACAGAGATAATTTTTTTTTCTAACTGCAAGAGTGAGGGGAGAGAAATGACACGTGTTGTCGTTCTGCCTCTGCAGACCTCCGTGCTTCTCCTTGTTTAAAAAGAATTGCCTCATGGTTTTGATTTAAAACACACTAAAATTGGTTAAAATGAAGAGTAAGCACTCAAAACTACACACTAACTATAAAATCCAAACGTTAAAAGTCACAGATCTAATTAATAAAGTCCTGCTCTCACCGGCTCTTCTTTGCCGCCAATCTCCATTCAAATTTTGCCTCTTTTTATTTTCTTCTTCCTGTAGATTTTTTACTGCTTGTCAGATAACTTTGAGCCTCAGTCAAAAAGAAGGTCTGGAGGGTTATATTTTTTTCGGTTCAAGAGAAAGATGAGACTGACGATGGACAGCGGTGTTTTTTCCACGAGATTACTGTGTTTCCTGCTCCCTTCAGCTGCAGTTTCCCCCCATTAAAAAAAATGGAGGTTGAACTCACATGACTGAATGACATCACGCCGACTTTGAGAATATTTTGTAGTGTGCATTGTGTTTCCAGACTCCTCCAACTGTTGCATTTTTCATTGGACTCCAGGGGTATTTTGGTCTAATTCTTTAATATGACGTAACAAAGTCATTATTTCAGCTTAATTTCTGTTAACGACACGGTGGAATATGTTGTGGTTTTGTACACTTGAGGGTAAATATGAATAATTTTAGAGCCTGGTATTTGTAGTTAATACTAAAACACTCCTGAGGAGTGAAAAAAAAAACCAATGTCTCAATAATCTATTATATTTTAAAGACATTCAGGAAGTATGAACAGTTTTTTCCTTAGATATTTAATTTAATCTCTGACCCTTTAGGAACAAAATGTTGCAATGGCATACGAGGCGTTTAAAACTTCTGCACAGCACTAAATGTCAGATACAGAGATGTGCTGCCTGACCAAAATAAGGTCACACAATAATATTTTTTGGACCACCTTTAGTTTTGATTACGGCACTTACTGACTGTGGCATTGTTTGGATAAGCTCCCTAGAGCTGACCAACTGCAGCAACTCCACATCATAGCCCTGCAGTATAGTAGGGACTAGGCATGATGGGTCCGCACTATTCTTCCAGTTTTTAATAATGCGTTGGACAGTTCTTAACCCAGTTTTACTAGTTTTTTCAATCTCCCTAGATGTTTCCTCTGCTTAATGATTTAACCCTTCTTAAACAGACTGACATCTTTTCCACGACCACAGGATGTCTTTCAACATGGCTGTTTGAGAAATGAGAAGCAACTCATTGCACCAGTTAAGGTTAAATAACTTCTGAGCTGAAAGATTATCGTCCATGCAGTAATCATCCAATAGGAGGCTCGTATCTATTTCTTTAGTTAAATCCAGGTGGTGATTTTTCTTGGCCTGGCAGTGTATAATGTTGCAGAAAAGAACAGTTTGTTTTACTAAAGTTATTCAGGTTCCTGCTGAAGTTGCATGTTTTCTCAGCAAAACAAATCTCTCCATCTGTTTATGTAACAAAACTATTATTTACACCTATTAAAGGGTCTTTTATAAAGACAAGAAGCTGTTATTTTATGTGAGCTATACTTACAGGAATGGGCAGCAGGTGTTGGGATGTTATTTAAGTGACAAACAATCCTTTTAGATGAATATTTTATTGGCTTCAGAGTGGCTGAAAGCCTCCCTGCTGGTCAGAGATAAGAAACAAAACGAGCTTCTCCTCAGCAGAGCTCCTCTAAACTGTTTTAATCGTTAAGCTGAATCTGCTGTTTCACAATTTACACAGTTTGTAATGATTTGTGTAAATATTAAGGGAAATATTTTTAATACATGATTTTTTTTGCCTCTGAGTTTGTGTAAATTTTAATTTAAAAATTGCATCTTAATAAAGATGAATAAATCTGTACTTCCAAGTGTAGATGTTGGCCAAATTTATCTATCTGTGCCCAGATTAAAAAAGGTATTTGTCTGTTGAATCCTGGAGAACTATTTGCTGAAATGTTTTATCACTAATGAAAGACCAATAAATAAGTCCTCAAGGTAGCAACATTTTTGTTGCCTTTGTTAAAAGTGTTGAAAAATGCAGGATCAGACCAATAATTTGATAAAAACAAACAAAATATCATAAATATAAGAGTTTAAAAACAACTTCAGTTTTACAGTAACCAACACTTCAAACTGATTATTACAACACATATAAAATAATTTCTTATAAAGAGTTTAAATGTGGTAATTCAGCTTTTTTTTAATAAATTCATTTAATTAGCCTCTACACAAGAATAATCACACGACTATTCTTCATAATTAACCCTTGTGAGTGATGAATGATAAAATTGAAGCCTTTTAGGGCTTCATATTTTCATATTGAAATGAAAAACAAATTTGATCAAATCAACAAATTAATGTTTTTGCCATTAGGAGAAGGGAGACATTTTTTTTTTACAGCTGTTTTGTTAGTTTTAATTATTTTCCTCTGTTTCTGTCTTTTTGTCTCACATCTGAAATTAGGCAAAAACACACAAAGTTAGGATTGCAAAATTTAAAAACTTTTCAAAGTTGAATATTTTCTATGGGAATCCATGGGAATAAACAGATTAAACTTAGAGTTTTAAAATGTTGAAGGTCAATTAAAAAAGAGATTAGAGATGAATATATATTTTAGCATAATCTTGTGGAAACAAAAACAAATATTGCTGCAGTTATTCCCATGAAAATTTTCTGTTTTACAATATTTCAACAATTTCCAACCTTTTAATGGAAAGTTTCCAGAAATTCTCCACATCCTTTCAACCCCAGTAAAAAACCCATCAAAATGTGCAGTTTGATCAGAAATAAGTGCACTGACTTTGGTAATGCTGCATAATACTGTGAAGTCACATTTAAAATAGTCCATACACAACAGGGATTTTGGTGAAATAAAGGAGAAAAGTCAATAATTAAACGGCTGACAGAAAGTTTGACTTTAAATGGCTGAACTGGATTTTTGACATCTGACAGTTGTAATAGAATCAATTTGATGATTTTACGGAGGTTTTATGACAAAATGTTCAAATTACAGCTTTACAGACACGACAAACGTTTGAGCTGTCAAACTTTTCTAGAATTTTTGTACGTTATGTAAACTAAAAAATGAATAATGTTCAACTTGTCTCTTAGAGTTACAGGCCTTATGGTCTCAAATCCTTTTATTGTTCTCACGTTTTGATCTTTATTGTTGTTATTTTTATTATCTAATTTATATGCATTTTCATCTCAGGTTAGTTAATGTATCCAAAATTTATTTTAGATGATCAAAAATACAACGGATGATGGAATTTCAACCAGTTTTAAAGTATAAAATAATTGATGCAGCTAGAAATACTGATTTAATGGGCTAATATTTCATTTCATTTGATCAAGGAAAGCACAATAAACAATGTTACATGATAAAAAACAAGCAACCGTTGCTTTGTATAAGGGTTTGCCAAGTAGCTGTAGATGCAGCAGCAGCTGCTACAGCCAGCTCACTGTACATACTTCTGTTAAAGGCACAGTGTGTAGGATTTTGTCAAATCTTTTAGCCGAAATTGAGATAATCACTAATGACAATAATAAAAAACATGTCTAATCATTGCAGACAAAGACCTTGTTTTATTATTTTTACCTTATAAAAAGCTGTTTATATCTCCATGGTCGCGGGTCTCCACACAGGCAGCCGCCATCTTGCACCGCCATCTTGTCTACGAAGGCTCATGAAGGACAAACTGGGGTGGCGGCGTCAAAAACAGTTTTAGTTGTAATACTATAAATGTAATATCTGTTGTCTGTCGTTGTAGCTGGGATAATTTTACTTATTAAAGCTCATAATCTTACCACTTGAAACATCACTAGCCCTGAAGCTGCTGGTAGACATCYCGGTTGGAATTATCAAAGGTTTTTGACACCTGAGAGACACCGTAGCAACTCCTTTGCGTTTGGAAGCGGGGGGTGGGGGTGGGGGGAGGACCAGGGAGGATGATTCAACCACTAGATGTCGCAGAAAACAACAAATCCTACACAATGTGCCTTTAAACAAAGATGCTCTTGTCCAAGTTTTTCAGTGTGTTCTTTTATTTATTTAAGTTAGTTCAAGTATGTAGTAGTCTCAAATGTAAAATACTTATAGGTAAGAAATTTTAAAAAAAAAAGCTTGTTTTGTATATTATCTGTTGGTTGACCTTATTTCTAAAGAGCGGCATCACCTAGGGAAAAAAAACTTTAAATTGCAATCTAGCAAACAGAAGACAATATACTTTATTACACTAAAAAATGGTACATAAGTTATTTATACAGGCAGCATTTTAAGTTAACATCAAGTGCACACAATTCTTCTTCCTGTCTGACAGAAATGCTTGACTTTGGTTAACAAAAAAGATGGGATTATTATTATATTATAATGCACCTGTTTTTCCAATGTTTTTCCCATTGGAAAGAAAAGAGAGAAAAAAAAGAATTGTAAAAATAAGAATCAGAGAAAAACTAAGTTGAGATGATTGTGTGAAATTGAGATCTCAGGAATAAACAAAACCCACATGGTGAAAAAAAAACATTTGTTTTTTGAGCTGCATCATGAATGAAAGCATTTATGATTCTGTACCTCTGCTGTTAAACGTCCTCTCATCAGATCATCTGAGCTAATCTAAGTGGATAATAATCTGTCTCTGCTCTTCCAGGTTCTGTGGGGAGTGTCTGCAGCCATGTCTCCAGGTAACCTCCCCTCTGTGCCCTCTCTGTCGCGTGCCCTTTGACCCCAAAAAGGTGGAGCGCTCCTCCAATGTGGAGAAACAGCTGGCCTCCTACAAAGCCCCCTGCAGGGGCTGTAGCAAAAAGGTGTGTGCTAATAAAATCTGTGAAGTCTGAGACAGACCTTCATCTGTAGATTTGTGTTATTGTCATAGACTTAAATATATGGATCACTAGAATGAGCCCCGCCCATACCGTCCACTGCTAGCATCTGTGATAGCATTGAGGAGCAAAAATGGCATCTTAAAGGGCAACAGCTCACAGCCTCCATAGAAACTAATATATAAACAGCAGCACGGATCTGTTTCACAGATTATCTGTCATGTTTTTACAATAAATTAATAATTATGGTAATTTCATTCAACAATCATGTAAAACAGCAGATTTATACCAGAAAAATAAATAATTTATAAGTAACAATGATCTAAACC